GGAAGAATGTTTCCTGTTTTACTGTGCCATGGGGAAGCTGAAGACCTGATGTGTGAGGGGATTTGGGTGCCCAGCTCCTCTTTCAGCCCCTCATTCCGTAGAGATCGTGGGAGTTGGGTGCTCCAGCCCCAGAGCTCACCCGGTTCTGCTTTCAGTGCTGATGTTGCTGAGCACCCAGAATGCAGACTTCGTCAGAGACCTCCGTCCGGATTTCTTTCTGGGTCACCACTTGCCAAGTGAGGTTGCCCTAAAAACAGGCTGAGACCAAGCTATTGACTTTTAATTGTCAATGCATAAAGTTTCCGAGAAGAAAGAGGGCTTTGTGTTGCTTTAATGGGGACACACTGAAGTATAGTCGCTCTTTGAATTAGACAATGAGAACGTAAAGATTTTCTGCAGCTCTAAGAGTGTCTGAAGAGCATCGGCAGAAGGTTACATTGAGCAGAACAATGGCACAGTAGTTGGCTTGCTGAGAGGTAGGAAAACCCTTTGGAAGTAGTAACTCCACTTTTCTTCAGTACTGTTCAATCCCAATTAAATGAGATTAATTGTACAGTTGAGTTCCACGAGTTCAGCATCCAAAATAAATACATAAATTAAGACAGGCGACAGCGCAGAGTCTCAACTGCGGTTAGAATTCCTGCCACGTCCTGCAGGACGTGGAGGGGAGAGAGGAGCCCTTTCCCCTTACTGCCTGATATCCTGCAGAACACACACGACGACCGAGCGCTCCGCTCGCCTTGCTCGAGCCGCTTGCCTTGCTCCCGGGAAGGTTTTCTTTGGCTGGGGCTCTGCAAGGTGCACAAGCCGGTTCCAAAGTGCCAGATGTGTGTGGAATAGGAAACGCGCTGGCCGGGCTCCAGGCTGTGGGACCTGCAGCACAGCAGCGGCTCCCCAGGAAAATCTCCGGCTGCCAAGAACTAGAAGTGATGTCAGCTCTGGAAGTGTGTCAGATTGGAAACCCTTGTACTCTGCTCTCTGTGAAGTATTAATCTCCCAAGGCCTGTGCAGTAACGGGTCTTGTCTGGCACAGCGCAACTTTATTTGTTTTGGGCTGGAAGTGTTGGAGGGTTTTTGTGTGAAGGTGCTGGAAGCTGTCAGTGGTTTAGGTGCTGTGGATTGGGCCCCGTCCTTGAAGTTGATCCTGGGACCTCGCTCAGCTGTGATAAAGATGGGCCTCCCCTGCCTTGAAGTGAAGGTCTAAGCCAGGCTGGGCGTTTGTAGGAATGGGCTGGGGTTTGCAGGAATGATTGTGCCTTGGGACCTTTTACGTGCTTAAATCTCTTTGTCTTCCCCCAGCTAAATCAGTTTGTCGAAGAGAAGATAGTACATCTCCCTCAAATACTACCTTCCTGTCTGCCTTTGGGACAGCCCCATAGGGTGGTAGCCTTGCTGGTGACAAGGTTGTGGCTGTGGTGGGGAGCTGTTGGGGCTGTCCTCACACCAGCCAGAGAAGGTCCTGAGCTGCTCTGCATAACTGGAATGGGTTTGGCTGCTGGGTTTGTGGCAGTGCTATGTTTGGAGCTGGGGCATCCATGTCTGTCTGAAGCAGCGCAGCAGAGCTGTGCGTCCGCCTGGTGATGTGCCGTTCGGGAGCTGGCAGCAAGCTTGCTCACGGGGCTTACTTGGGGGATGGTGGATCAGCTCATGCCAGCTGTGCTAGGTGCTGTACAGAAAAAGAATGATAGATATGCCGGTGGTTTACACAAAAGTGCATCCCTTTTGGTTTATGCCTGTATGTTTTGTTTTTAAAGTAATTACTGAAACACAGCTCCTCCCCTGAACAAAGCCATTTGTCTCCTGTTGAACAGTAACCTTTTATTTGCTCGTGCTGTGTAACAGAGCTCAAGGACGTGTTTACTGTTGATAGCCAAAATTTCACCAGAACAAGCATCTCCCTTGTCTAGATCTTTCTTCCTGGATTTCAGTGGTTAAATCCCAGGGAAGGGAAATAACCCTATAAGCAAGGAGAGAAGTGGGGTTTTGTGCTGTTCTCAGCCGTGGAGTGCAAGCTCCCAGCAGATCTATGGGCTTGGAGTATTGAGCGTCTTGGATGTGAAAGCACTGCTCTGAGGGTCTTGCCTCTGACCGAGTAATTGCGTTGTCAGGAACCTGTCAAACCTCACTGTTGCTAGTTCACACTTCCCCTGGTTATTTATAGTTTTGGAATTACAAAAACAAGAGAAGTGATTCTTTTTCCCCTTTGCTCAGTGGTAAATTGGGCTATTCCTGCCTTCATTTACTGTCAGGGAGAGGAGATGATAGGGGTGGATTTTGGCTGTACGTGGAGATGTGCGATTTGGGAAGAGGGACATTGGCTGGTTTAAGGTGGATTTTCGGATGCCTGCTTTGGATCTGGAATCAAGCCTGCTGCTGGCAGGGGCTGCGCTCCCTTGGAGGGCAGAGGACAGCTTTGTGCCTTGAAGGTTTTACAAGCTTTGTTCATCCAAAACGCCCTGTTTTTTATGCCACTCTGCAGGAGGCTTTTTCATTTGCTTTGCTGGGCCTGGACGCCGGAGGTGGATGGCTGGCTGATGGAAGTGAGGAAATAAATGGGAGAAAAAGAACGTTTTTCTCCTGGGCCGCTTTTGTGCGTGATGTAGCCTAAGGGTTAGCAACACAGGAGAGAGTGAAAAACCCCTGCAGAGCCTGGGTCAGAAAATATAATTTTCGTGGGAACTAAATGCTTTTAACTTGCTGCATCAAAGACCCGTCATTTTGGGGCGTGCTATACATTTCAATACATCTGTATTCCCCCCTCTGTGTGTGCATGCACGTATATGCGGTGTGTATCTATATGTAAGTATTTATTTGCACATACATTTCTAATCTTGAAGCTGCTACTGCTGGTCTTGGAATAGCTCAGCAGTTTGCTGGGCTTAGTGGGGTTTAGTATGAAGTCTGCTGGTTACCTGGGGCTGGATGGGCACAGACTGTGCCATTCCTCTCTCCTTGCAACTGACAACTCTGCTTTTGGCCCCTTTTCTCCTGGAGAAGTATTTTGAGATGTTCTTAGTTGTGTTGGGTCATTTCTGGGTAGTTGGTAGACAGGAGATTTTGTGTGCTGTGATGTAAAAGCCTCCTTTGAATGCATATATAATGTTGCCCTCCATAGGGCGACGCTGTATAGGGTTCCCTGGCGTCAATTTAGAGATCCAGGATCTGAAAACTTCCAGTTCCGCCGGGCTTTGATGCTTGAAACTACGTCAGACTACATCAGAACTACTACAAAAGGCCTTCTGGCTTCTGTAGTCTTCACCACATTCCTGACATTGTTACCTCTGGCAGGTAAGAGGGTGGAGGTGAGCAGGAGGCTGCGCGAGCGCGTGGCTGTGTGTTTAAACAGGGTCGTATCCATTTCTGTCACTATATGATGAAGAATGGAGGTTGGAGATAGTCAGCAGCTTCTGTAAGCACTTAACATTCCTGATTGCATTTGTCTTTGATCTCACTTGGAGTAATTTTACTCTCTTCTGATCTCTTCCCTTGAAGGGGCTTTTATCTCGTTGTCAGGCTTGCTAATTTAGTGCGGTGTTTTGAACCAGACCTCCTCCTACGTTTCCAGAGCCTGGAAGGTATTTTTTCCTTAATCAGGGAGTATTTATACAGCTCTTTGAACATCTTAGGACAAAAGTCGTGTGCTTTTTGCAATGCCAAGTCTGGGTCCCGAGCCCTGCTGCTCCAAGCTCTGTACGTACAAATGACCTGTCCCCAAAAACCAGCAGTATTTTGGGGCCTGGGGCCGAAAGGGCAGGAAGGGGGGCTGGACGGTGCGGGACGGGTCAGAGCAGCCTGGTGTCGGCTGGGGGCTTGCTTTGCCCAACTGGAAGCCTTCCCAGGCTGCGGTGAATGACAGACAGCAGTGGGTTGTCACGTGCGTTTGACCTTGACATGGCTTTCTACCAGGCCGCTTGAGCCCTGGGGGTTGTGATTACATCTGGGTTTTTACGTGGCTTCTTGGTCTAGAAATATTTTTGGTGCTCCTGGAGTAAAGGAGCAGTGGTTTGAGTACGGTCACAAGCTCTCACCATCACGTGGAGCCTGCATCGCCTGGCAATGCAGTAGATGCTTGCAAGTAGTAACATATTGATACCCTGGAGGTTGGTTGCTTGTAAATGGTTTCTGCTGTTACTGGGTGGATGATGGGGTAGGAGCAGGTTTCCAGGAAGGGAGTGACTGTTGCTCTGTAAAGATGTTGTGCAATTGTGTGTTGACTGGTGTGAAGGCATGAAAGAAAACAACCTCCTGCTGTCAGTAGCCAGTGAGACGATATCGGCGTGACCAGCTCAGCAAGTGCACCAAATCCTAACGATAGAAACAGGCCACTCTGGCTGCTCCCAGAGGATTCTTTGCTCGTGGTGTGAGTATGTTCCTTGGTGAGTGTGGTCCCAGGCTGTGGCAGGACAGTTGCCAGTGAGGTCCAGTTTCAAATGCTTTTCCCTCCAATGGTGGTTTCTCCTCGCTTGGTATGGCAGAGTGGGACCTGAAGCAGGCTGTCGGGCTTGGCGTGGGTGAGCTCTGCAGTCCAGCGCTGAGTTTTGTAACCGGCCCTTTTTTCTCTAGTGTTCCAACCAGAAGTTTGGATGCAGGTGGGTTTTGACTTTGGGAAAAGAGCTGGGGGATATTTAGGGATATAGAAACATCATCACATGGTTTCAAAAAGCAGATACTTCTTCTGCTCTGATGCAAAGAATGGAGCTGTCTGTTCTTACTCTGCTGCAAGCAGGTTGAGTTGATTTTTAAGGGATTAAAGTTTGAGAGGCTGATAATTGCTTCTTACCGACCTGTGCAGGCGTGGGAAGCTGCACTGCAGATCTCTGCTATATTCCTGGCTGCCTGAGCCAGCCAGCTGTCCCCTCGTGCTTCACCTTTTGAAGAGGAGGAGTATTTTCAGCAAAATGTCATTTTAATTGCTGTCTGAAGAAAATAGAAAATAGGACAGATACACAGGCGGTTTCCCCAAGTGCAGAACAGGAGTGTCTGTCACGGAGCAGAAGCCCATGGAGAATCTGGAGGTGGGAGGACAGCCCGTGTGTGTGGTGGCGGAGGGCACGTGGGACATCCAGCACGCAGAGCCAGCTAAGCCCACCCAGCCCTGCTGCGTGACAGGAGGGTCGGTGCTGAAGGGGGGTAAGAGCAGGCACAGGCAGCGTTGGTGCCGGTGGTCGTCGTGCCGCACAAGCGCTGTCCGAGATGCGCTGGTCTGTTGCTGCTGGCAGTGATGTGTGAAAGAGGGGCCGAGGGGCAAGACGCAAAGAGAAGGCTGGAGCCATCAGCTGAGGGGCCTGACTTGTGACCTCAGTTAATTCGTTGTCTCCTCAGTCTCTACATGTGCTCCTAAAACCAACAAATTTAAGGAAAGGCGAAGGATTAAGCTTTTAGCCAGCAAAGTTTCAACGACTTTTGAAATAATCTGTGCATCCCGTGCCTCAGGTTTTGCCTTAGCAGCCCTACCTCATTGGAGGTGGTGTGTTCACACAGGCTGGGCCCCGTCTGACCTGCTGCCAGGAGCTGCTGCTACGGGGGCATCCCTTCAGAGAGCATCTGCGTTGCTGCTCCTCTGCGGATGGGGCTTCCCACAGCAGCGTTGCAGCTCTGAGTGTGCCTCCCGTCCTTAGCTCAGCTGAGCTTTCCCCAGCCTCGGACTGTTATAACCCTCTCCTGTGTTTGGCCGTGTCGCTTCTGCATGTGTTTGCTGGTAACTTGCTCTGTGCTTACTTTCTCCCTGTTTCATGCAGTTTTTTTGTACCGGCTGTCTTGGATGGAAGACTTCCAGTGGCAGAGTCTTTCCAGAGCATTTGGGGCAGCTTTGAGCTTTATGTTCCCCTACTTCTAGCCTCCCGTGGAGCCCGTGCGTGAGTTTTGTAGCTTGCTGTGGACCTCAGAGGACAAATCTTCCCTAGGAGACATGAAGGGGCAGAACTGCCCGTACAGGAGGGCGTTTGGTGGCAGTCCCTGCACAGTGGCATGCCTCAGCTTGCTCCCTGGCCTGAGGCGGCCGGGCAGAGGAACCTGCTGGGGCTGTGTTGGCTGACAAATCCAGAAACCACGCTGCAGTGCATTCACGTTGGGAGCTCGATGGCGCCTGCTGCTCCTTGCTGTGGCCTCCTGCCTGCAGAGTATGAGTTAGTGGCCCGGTGGAAGCATCCGTGCAGGGAAAGCCTGAATCCGGGGACTCGCAGGCAGCTCTGTGTCGGCGGTAGCTGCCCCTTTGTCCTGGGGCGTCTGGCTGTTACGCTGGCTGTGTAGTATGGTGTGAAATGGGCATCTCTGCATCCTGCTGGGGCTTGGCTTTGGGGCCTGGGAGAGCGGCCCCTGCACATCCTAGTGAAGATGGGCGTGCTTGGGGCATGGTGTGTTCTGTCCTGTAACGAGGGCAATCAACAGGAGGGCAGTCAACAGGCAGGGCACCGGGAGGATGCTTGTGTAGTCTGCTCCTCGCTGAAGCCACAGAGCTGGCCGACGTCAACTTCTCGGTGGTTGTTCTGCAAACCGGCGATGAGGGCAAACCTGACAAGTTCCCGTCCCCACGGGCTTGGGTGAGCACGGAATCGACCCCGCACGTGGGCAGGGTTAGGCCCTTCCTTCCAGGGGCACCTGCGGTTTCCGGCACATGCCTTGAAATAATTCCATCTCCCTGCACGTGTAATTTTGCGTGTCATTGCCCCTAATTGCATCCTTAACACACACTCTTTTAAAATGCAGCCCTTTTATCAGCAGTAGGTAGTAGCAGGTTTAATAGGGTGTTTGAATTCCTATAAAATTAATCTGTAGCCTTCTGCGATAGGAGACGGGCAGGGAGCCATGTGGTTCATATCCAGTGTTGATAAACTTGTTATAGAGGCAGGAAACATTTCTGATTGGAGCAGTGACAAAATAATTTGGAGCGGAGCCATAAAAAGAGTGGATGGTGATGGTTTGAGCACAGCAGAGATTGAAATTGCTGGTGTGTGGAAGCAGCGCTGCCAGCTAACATTGACTTAGTGTCTCTGGAGAACTCTAACGGCAAATGCATTTTATTAATGGCAATATTCTTTTAGGAAATGCTGAGCCTTGTTTTGGAGGTGGAGCTCTCCTATAAGCATGTGGGTTTGGAAACTGGCCAGACCAAGACCTGTTCAGCTCAGCGCACTGCCGGTCGCTGCTCTGGCCGCCGGCTGCAGCAGGCAGGTTGCCTAAGGGCATGTTCTGGGTACCGTGCAGTGCAACTGTCCGTTTGCAGCTGGGACATGCTTTCTTGCCTAGCGGGGAAAATGCATCCACCCATTCACATTCTGGATTCAGCTACGTGGGATAAAGCACTCAGAGGCAGCAGGTCACGTATTTTGTTGTCTTTCTTTTGAAATGAGTCTCCAAGTACACGAACATCAGAGGCGGATGCTGCCTTTCTGGGTTCACAGCTGGGCTCAAGCTGTTACAGGCAGCTCCCTCTGAGGGTGTTGTAACCCATCTTGCATCTCCTCTGAAGGAGTTTGCTTCTCTTTCTCTAGATCTTGGGACCTTGGCCTGACTTTGTGGCCGCTAATGTCCCTGGAGTGCTGTGCTTACTTCTTTGCCTGGGATTTCTGGCCGTTTCTCACTTCTCGTGGGCAGCTGTGGCAGGTGGAGGAGAGATTGGGGCTCTTGCTGTATATTATGTGCCGCCTGCTGCTGTTGCTGTCACTTTACCTTCTTCCAGTTGTTCTTCTCTGCTGTAATCCAGCATGGAAAAAGCAAGAGTGGATAGAAGGGATGGCTGCTGGGCACTGTTTGGGGTGGCAGAGGTGATGGAGGTTGTGCTTGCAGCCCCAAGGATGTGTAATGGAGAATGTGGTGCACGAGTGTAACGGGAGGTGCTGGTCGCCTGCCAGGGCTGAATTTCACCCGTTATCTCCGACTGCACTCATGGAGAACAGCGCTTCCTTCGCTGCGTAAAACTGGGATGTGATTAACCAAGGAGAGCAACCCCCACTGCAATGCTGTCTTTTCTTTGCAGGGAGGCTGTTGGAAGGGGATTCTCTGGAGCTGAGCTGTAGTGCTGGTCCTGCAAAGGTGATACTGGAGCCAAACCAAGTCGTGGTTTTGGACTGTAACCTGGCCCCTGTTGAGCAGGTGATCAATATCACGTGGAAGAAGAATGGGTTTCCATTAGTGGAGCAGGAACATATCCACGTGCTTCCGAATGGATCACTCTTCATCTCATCCCAGGCTGTGGCAAAGGACAGTAAATATCCTGAGAGGGCTGGTGCGGAGGGTGATTACTCCTGCGTGTCGCACAGCTCCCTAGGGGCTGTCACCAGTCAGACGGCTGCAGTCAGATTTTCAAGTAAGTGTTGGGGGTTTGTTGTTGATTTTCTTTTTTACCCCTCCTCGTCTTTATACAGACCATCTACATCCCTGAGAGTTTGAGATAAAGTGTCTATGAAGTAATATTCTTTTAATGATGCGTAGATGTGTAGGTGGGATTTGGGGTAGCCCACAAATAAACAGTGGTGTCTTTCTGTTATCCCACTGTTAGCATCCTGCGTAACTCTTCCAGGTAAGTGCCATCAGCCATGAATTGACAACAGGAGCCTCCTCACTCTCCAAAAGACAGTGCTTGTTTTTGCAGAGAACTTCACAGCCCTGAGTGCAGCACCCTCCCTCTGCCTGGGGCCGTGGCTGCCGAGGTCTGGCCATGACAGCTCTGGCTCTCCAGGCCAGGGCTATGATGGGCTCGTTGCCTCATTCACGTAGTTAAGGAGCACTGCCCTAAATCTGTGAGCGCTGGCTGAAGCTAAGGGGCCGGGTGATGGGGAAGGGGTTGGGAGAAAACACCCATCACATCTCCTCTGCGTGAGTCCCCTCTGGCTGGGGTGGGCAGGA